ATAAGGGGTTAATCTCCAAAATATACAGGTAACTCATACAAGTTAAGAAAAGGAACACAAACAGTCCAAATAACAAAAGGACAAATGACCTAAGTAGACACTTGTCCAAAGTGAACATACAGAAGGCCGAGAGACATATGAAAAAATGCTCAAAGTCACTAATCATCTGAGTCATGGAAATCACAGTGACAATGAGGTATCATGTCACAACTGTCAGAACAGCTACCATCAACAAACAACAAGTGCTGGTGAGGAAGTGGAGAAAAGGGAACCCTCGTACACTACTGGTGGGAATCCAGACTGGTGCAGCCACTGTGGCAACAAGTATGGAGTTTCCTCAAAAAACTAAAAATGGAACTTACATCAAAATATCCCAAGAAATCAACAACACCAATCAGAAAGAATATATGCACCCCTATGTTCATAGCAGCACAATTTACAATAGCTAAGATTTGGAAACAGCCCAAATGCCCATCAGCAGATGAGTAGATTAGAAAACGATGGTACATCTACACAACAGAATACTACTCTACTATGAAAAAGAAAGAACTCTTACCATTGGCAACAGAGTGGATGGCTCTGGAGAACATTATGCTAAGCGAAATAAGCCAGTGGAGAAAGGTATCACATGATCTCACTCATATGTGGACTCTAATGAACAACATAAACTGATGAACAAAAATAGACTCAGAGACATAGAAGCATTGAACAGACTTTCAAACCTCAGAGGGAAGGCAGGGGAGAGATCTGATAAGGGGTTAATCTCCAAAATATACAGGTAACTCATACAAGTTAAGAAAAGGAACACAAACAGTCCAAATAACAAAAGGACAAATGACCTAAGTAGACACTTGTCCAAAGTGAACATACAGAAGGCCGAGAGACATATGAAAAAATGCTCAAAGTCACTAATCATCTGAGTCATGGAAATCACAGTGACAATGAGGTATCATGTCACAACTGTCAGAACAGCTACCATCAACAAACAACAAGTGCTGGTGAGGAAGTGGAGAAAAGGGAACCCTCGTACACTACTGGTGGGAATCCAGACTGGTGCAGCCACTGTGGCAACAAGTATGGAGTTTCCTCAAAAAACTAAAAATGGAACTTACATCAAAATATCCCAAGAAATCAACAACACCAATCAGAAAGAAT